ACCTATCCCCGTCAACACCTCATGATCACATAGGCTGGTGTGCTTCTTCCATGAAGGCTTTGTTGCTTTCCTGCTAGATGCCCACTCATTTAACTACAGCATTTAAGACCGGAGATGCTTATCTTTTAATAGCTGGGGACCATCAGCTATCTTCAACACATTTGCTTATGCACCCATTTTGTCTTCAGCAAAATACTGTCAGGAAGGTGAGTATCACACAATGCCACATTATAAGAACAAATTGTTCTTATATTTGTTATAAAAAATATTTGTTTATATTATACACTTTTTAAATAAGGTGTTATCTCTATGAAACCTCGCCAAGCCAATCTGCATTACCTATTATCAGTGTAAGAATAAGGTAGTACACTGATGGAGGGTTTAATACAATTTTGTTTCACTAAATTTAACAAGTCTTATTGCCTGTATTCTTTTTATATTTGCTTTGTATTATATTTGCAATAGATGCACACAAATGAGTAAAGACAAAATCTGCACACAGTTTGATATTGTTTTTATTACACTCACATACATTTAATTAGAAGACTTTTTATTTGGGCACCAAGAAATTTTCACTGTGGAGCTGCTTATGTGACATTCGGACAACAAAAATATCCTCATCAATAATATAAAAATATTTGAAATTCTCCTTCACCTATGGCACCATGTGACTGATAGGGGTAAAGCAAGATTCATTGAATTAATAATTTTACCGAGTAAATGAGCTCTGTGGTAGTTTTATAATATGTTGTCAATTTGAGAGATTTATGAGTGAAGGGGTGGAATCTCACCTGTCAATCAGTATACAGCCAATGAGGCCTCTGTGTGGGCCTGGCCTTCACCTGAGAATTCCTGTATTCCTCCTTGGAGGTGGGAGACACTCTCTCTCTCTGCTTGGACTCCCTGAGAGACATCAGGGAGTATTACACTATCACATGAACCTACCCTGATGCAATCAGAGCCCTGAAGCTGTAGGAACTATGTGGAGATCCCTGCCAGCGCTGAGATGCTTACAATGCCACGGGATCCACAAGACTTCCCATGCACTGGCCTATGATCTTCCTGCATTCACGTAATTGCATGTGTTTCATGAGTCTAAAGAGGACTTCATAGATTGGTAGAAGACATATGGGCTAATATCAGACGTATGGACTTAATCTAGGCTGGACTGGGATGTTTTCTCAATGTTCAATTGCTCTTGTATATAAAGCTCTTTCTTATGTACATATCAGTGTCTATGGATTTGTTCCTCTAGTCTACTTGGACTAACACAAGTTCTATATTCAAAATCCTAGGCTTCTGAATAGTGTGCCTGTAGATTCTTTTATTTAGTTATCCCAATAAGCAAGCATTATTTTGCAGACATTTATTCCCTATTACCTGCAGCTTATATTTAGAAAGTAAAGACTATTTGAACCTGGAAAAAGGAAGGAAAGAAAAGGAAAACAAACAAATGGATTACTTCCATTAACTCTATGAGTATTTAATATTTTCTCTTAATGAAACAAAATAACCATGTACCTAGTCCTGTGATTGTGAAAATTATATATTCAATAATAAACCAGCCTAATAAAGTGTTGTATTCAATGATAAATTAATTTCTAGCAAAAAAATCTAAACAATACATAATAATAACCCCAATACATACAGGTTAAGGGATTACAATATGAAAGCATACATAATTTATTAATAGAAGACACAAGGGCCAACATAATTCATTTCAGGGACAGTAATAATGTACAATTGTTGAAATGTGGATTGTTGTTTTTCATTATGCCTAAATTTCTCTTTAAAAATACTCTCCTTTCGCAAAGTGGGGTAAATAACATAAAAAGGGAAAAGAATGATAAAATCTAAAATTAAGAAAACAGCTTATATAAATGAGTGTCCTTCATGAACAACCTAGTATGTACTAATAGTCAAGCTCTCATTTCTATCCATTTAATTCCGACCCAGAGCAACCCTTTGGGACAGGGCAGAACTGCTACCAGGGGCTCAAGTAGAAAGAACATGCTTTGGAATGTTGATGGCAACATATGTACAAGTGTGCTTGATACAAATGAATGATGGATTGTTATAAGATTTGTAAGAGGCTGCCAATAAAATGCTTAATTTAAAAAGGATATACATACACACACACACACACACACACACACACATATATATATATATATTGTATGAGTCTGGAATAGGTGAATCAGAAAGTAAGGGAAAAAAACCTCCAGCCAAATTTATTCTGACTTAAAAAGTAATGGACCAAGTTTATTGTGACTCCCAGTGACTCTCTAGGGAAGAATAGACTTGCTCAATAGGGTTCCTAAGGTGGTACACTTTCAGAAACAGGCTGGATCATCTTTCTCCTGCAAGTGACCAATGGGTTCAAACCACCCAGCTTTAGGTTTGCAGCCCAAAACTTAACTGACTGTGCACCAGGACTTCTTGACTATTTGATGGGTACTGGGTACTCTTTAAAACCAAACTGCTGCTGCCACGTCAGTTCAGCCAGTAGGATAGAGTAGAACTGGCCCATCCCCAGCCTCAGGTTTCCAAACCTATAATCCAAGGCAGATTCCCACCTCTTTCCCCCAGTAGGTTAGAACCACCAATCCTTTGATTATAAGCAGAATACTTAACTATGGCACCACCAGTGTTCCTTGGGATATTCTTTAGCTGATAAAAATATTTTGGAACTAGGTAAAGTCGGGGCTGCCTGCTTACCATGATGGCTTCACTAAATCCCACTAGGTTTTACACTTCTCCTTGGTTGGTTTTTGTTATGTGTATCTTACTCACTGCCCTGAAGTTGACACTGCCTCATAGTGACCCAAGAGGACAGGGTAGAACTTCCCCTGGGAGTTTCTGAGACTATCACCCTTTATGGGAGTAGAAAACCTCTCTTTCTCCCAAGGAGCTGGCTGGTGGTTTTGAACGACTGGTCTTGCGGTTAGAAGCCCAACTTGTAAGCACTAAGCATCTTCTCATGCCTTTTGAATATTATGCCATGTATGTGTGTGCCTGCTTTTCAGCCTCAATTAATCTGAGTGGTTTAAATGAAATAAATGTCAAGGCCCCCACAGCAAGGAGCCATGAGCTGTCTCCTCTAATCTTCCTCTCCAATCCACAATGGCGCTTCTTACTTCCAGGCAAGCTCTGTGGCCACACCTCCCTTTCTAACAGTGTCAAGCAGTGGTTCTCAGCCTTCCTCATGACACCACCCTTTCATACAGTTCCTCATGTTGTGGTGACCACCCCCCAACTATAAAATTATTTCTGTTGCTACTTCATCATTGTTATTTTGCTACTGTTATGAAAGGGTTATTTGACCCCTGAGGGGTCGTGACCCACAGGTTGAGAACCACTGGTATCGAGGTTTCTCCTTGACCTGTAACACTCTCTTTATCCCCAAAACTTCCCTTCCCACACTCAGCACCAGGGATACTTTCTCAAAAGCTTTCTCTGGCCACCCCAATCCTTTCCCTACATATCCTCTCCTCTTAAGTGTGGTGTTTGTGACCTGGACACAGTCAGTAAATAATTACATACATAAGTAATTCATTTTATTTGCTTGCCATTGTGGGCTCTTCATGTATCTTAGGCTGTTGTTGTTTTCTTTTAATATCTATCTTAAGAGAAGACCAGCAATATGACTCAAGTAGCTTTGTATCTTTGATACTGCCCAGCTGAGGGCTAGACACTGACTGAGTGTTCAACCTGCCTGCTGGTGAAGGCTGGGGGATATCCAATAGCATCTTCATTATCACCAAGATAAGATTTTCTCACAAAGTGTGGGAGTGTTGGGTCCTGGGACTGAATTGGAACACACTTTCCCTGCCTCAAACTCACTTCCAATGGGTCAATGCTGATTCACAGTGACCTTTTGGGGCAGGATAGAACAGCCCTTGTGACTTCCTGAGACTATAACTGTTTACAGGCGTACAAAGCCCTGTCTTTCTCTCAGGGAGAGGCTGGTGATTTTGAATGGCAGACCTTTCTTATCATAGTCCACCACTATACCACTAGGGCTTCTGCCCTGCCTAGAGGTTCATAAATCAGGTTATAATTAAAGAAAGAAAGACACACCTTCAGCTGAACAGCATGCATCCAGAGCAGATGAGTGGATCCAACCAGGAACAACCAGTTTGTGGTCCCTAGTTGAATGTGCTCATCTCTGCAGGCAGTCATCTCCCTGAGCAGGCAGAGGTTGTAATATCTGTATAGGCAGTTCGGAAAACCCAGGCCTTAGCCAAGCTTCTGCAAGTGAGGCTCATTCCTATACCTCTGTGAGAGGAGTGTTTGCAGCCTTTTCCCACTTGCGCAGAATGGTGGCATCCGTTGCTCACTCCCACAAAGCTATTTAAAGATCAACTGCCCTGGTCTTTTCCATCCCATCAGCCTCCACCCCCTTCCTGCCCCTCTAATTACCCAATGCTTGTAACACTAACACACTCCATTTTTAAACCTTCACAAGGCTCTGCCTGCCCTAACCTTTCATGCGCCTTCCATTACTGTGCCTCCAGTATAGGCGAGAAGGGGGAGAGGGGAGTGGCTTCTGAGGGGGGCGGTCCCCTCTGTCCCAGCTACTCTCTGTCTTATAAGTTGGCCTATGACAGTGTCTGGGGATGGGTGACCAAACTGGTATTTTAATAAAGACAGCTGAGCTATGCTGGTGTGCAGAGTGGAGAGTGGAGAAGGACTGGCAATGGAGACACTACCTATCACCATGGGACCTTTCGTTGCAGCTCTGTACCTTTCCCAGGTAATGGTATGTCTTCACCTAAGGATTGGATCACCACATGAGGCCTTTAACGTCATGTCCAAAGGCCTTTGACACCACAATTGCCTGTGTAGAAATAGGAAGGCTTTGTGATGCCCTTGTGTTCTGAGTCTGGAACCTGTGAGGCAGAGTTCATAGAGCTAGTGTTGCGAGTCATTAGGCCCCAGTACCCTGGGTGCTGAGCTAGAGGCATGATTGGTCTCCTCACTCTAGTGAAGCAGAGACTATGTTGAGTCCCATATTTGTCCCATGGGGCATTTTGTATTTCTTATATACCTATGGCTCCCTCCTCCTCATTATCCTACTTCTTTGGCAAATGAAAAGCAGTCACCATGGATTACAGCGGGAACCTCCCAAGAGCAGCTGCCGGGTAGGGAAACACCCTGACCACTATTGTATTGTTTTTCCCTCAGATTAGAAGCTTTTAACCCTTCCATTTCTCTCTTTTCACCTATGTCCCCAGGTTAAACCTGTTATCTTTTATAGTCATTTACTTCTCAGATCCAGGTCCTTGCCTGGTCCTCCCTGAAGCATACACTGATTGAAAACCATTATTTTTCTACCTGGTTTGGGGTGGAGACTTAGAAGATATGTAAAGTCTGCCTCACTGGATCTCAAAAGGGCTTCCCATTAGACTGGGGCAGGGGCTGGGGACTCTGGTTCATAGTTCTTTAAATTTAAAGTCTTTGTAAGCTGAAGATTTTGGCTACTGAAGCCACTCACCCTTTGATGTCTACTCTTCTTTGTCATCTAAGTAACCCATATAACTTCTGGGCAGCGGGTGGAAAGTATAGCATGCGGAAGAGCCTTGAAGTGAATCAGAATGAATGGAGGAGACCCACTGAGGAGAGCAGGTAGACTAGGGATTTGGAAGTAGAGCATGGTGAGAGTTGCCTGCCAGGTTAAATGGAGTTCATGTCAATGAATAAGTGCACTTATAAATAGTTAAAATAGCAAAAGGGTTTTTTACATATACAAATTTACCACAATAAAAAAGTAAGGGGGATTAGGGAGAGGAGAAGTAGAACACAGGAATTATAGAAAGGTATCAAGAACAAGGATGAGAAATGTTTCAGGGTTTTGGCTCATTTTATAATTACAAGAAAATGCTATCCCAACCTCACCTTCTTTGTCTTTAAGCGGCAACACCAAAGAACCCGGCTCAGAGGTAGAGACGCAGCAGCCAGAGGTAAAGTCCCACGCTCTCCTCTGACTCTCGCTCCCTGTGGGTCTGGGCCCCAAGGGTCCTGACCCCTCTCACCCTAGATGCTGAGATGAGGTGCTCTAATCACTGAGGGTCCAAGCCCATGAATTGATACCTTCTCACAGAAACCTCCCTGGATGGGATATCAGAGTCAGGGACTGTTCCAGAATTCTCCACCTTGTTCTCCTGGGAATGAGAAATAAGGAGAGCTTAACACAGCTTAGCTGTGTTATTTCAAGTTTTGTGGTCTTGTAGAAATCACTTCATCCCTCTATTAATCTCCAGAAAAGGTGCCCAACACTGACAACCTTGACTCACTCGAAGTGTGGTTGTAAAGATCAAATGAATGTCCTTAGGGGCAGCATTACAAGTGTTTAAGCTGGACTAGGAGTTGCCTTGGGTACAAAGGGTTTATCAAAAGTCTTACTAGCCAAGTTCTTACAGGTTACCCCCTGACCTTCCCTGGTCTTCCTAATGCTGCTGTCTCCTGGTTTCTCAGCTAGGAGAGCTTCCCGGAAAGAAGCTGAGAAGCCTTGGGAACTGCTCTCCATCATGAAAAGGTGATTGATCCTTAGATGACTCACAGCTCTCCATCCTTGCCTGTGATAACTCCCCAACTTGACTGTGGGCAGGGATGCCACTCCCAATTCTACTCTTGGCACTAGAGCCCCCATCGTCCTAGGATTCCAGATGGGCAAGTCTACAAGGGGTTGAGCTTGTAGGGCTTCAGCAGGGAAACAAGACCATGAGTTTTACATAGATAAGTCACTGTCTGAGTCTCTTTTTAGCCTTTCTCTAAGTCGAGGAAGACCTTGAAAACCTTGTCTCTTCGGGGCTGTCTTCGAGAAAGCCAGTTCCTAAGAGAGCCCTCAGACGCTATAATCTGATAGTGTTCTGATAAGATCTCTGGAGAACAGAGGTGGTTTACAAAAGACAATTGTTTAAAGTACAGTGAGACCCACAGCACCCTAGAATGCAGGGTTTCCCCAGGGACCTTCTTTTCCCCAGGAAGGAAACACTAAATAACGAGCTTTGCTTTCTTGGCCATAAACAGGTGGCTCCGGAATATCCCGGAAGAGGTTGCCCATTCAGTTAACCACCTGACACATCCATCTGCCCGGTCCCTTCCCCTCGCTCACCTTCCTAACCCACCACTGCAGAGAATTGATCGCACCTCCCTGTCCTCTCAGAAGGCCCTGCCCTCCCTCTGGGCTCTCTGAGACCATGCCCAACAAAATCCAAACCCTCTGTTTGGCCAGGGCTAACCTGATGCAGGGCGCTTTGTTAGGGGGGAGATCTAAGGGTAGACCCCCAGAGGCAGAGCCAGGGTTTAAAGGCCTAATGAAGGGCAGGGCTAACGCTCCCAGCCAAACTCTTCAAGAAGTGTGACTGACACTGGCCATGTTTGCCTTCTCAGCCAAAGCTGGCTTCCGCAGGAGGGAAGTGTGCGGCGGCTCCTGTGCACCGACCACTGCTGTCATGTCTGCAACGACGCGGCTCTGGAGATTGGGCAGCTGCTGACGAGTGAGAACACCCCGACTGCCCCCGTTTCAGTGGGCGTGGCACAGAGCTCTTCCTGCGTAGAGATTGTATCCATGTCTAGTGTCTCCTTTGAGCAGACGCTGGAGCTGCCTCCCCAGCATTTGGGGGAGCTTTCAACAGCTTCCGTAACCCCTAGCCTGACTCAATTAACAGATCAAGGAGTCTTAACCCAGACAGCAGCCCCATCGGTCAATGTGGTCAACCTCCAAGAGTACTGGGCTGAACACTTGGACCTAGAGCCAGAATTTCAACTGCAAGATGCACCTGGGGACCCAGGGACTTTGTCTTCTTTGAAGAATGAGGAACGTGGGTTTCCTGTGAACCAACCAGAAATGGCAAATACCAGCTATCAGTTTATCCAGGGGAGCCAAGGCCAGCAGGCCTTAAACCCCCATAGCCCTTTGCTGCCTCTGAAAACAGAGCTAGCTAATAATCTGACACATCCTATGGCTTTGCCTATGGACACTGCCCTCCCTGCCCGCCTGCCACTCCTCAGTCCTGAAGTCCTCAGTTTCCTTGAGGTCCACGTTAAAAAATGGGTCCATTTCCAGAGGTGGGGACTCCCCAGACGTGTGGAACAATCCTTGAGGCAGCTTATGCCCGGCCCACCATTGTTGTACCAGCCTGGAACTGGCCGAGTCCACTTCATCATGAGTAATAGTTCTAACACCTGTATTGATTCCATTGGAACCATTTCCCATCAGACCTGGGGTTCATGTATGGTTGGCCAGCCTACACAGGCCTTCTGGGTTTCAGAATGGCCCACTGCAGATCCAGAAAGACGCCAACACTGTCAGGAAGCCCCAAATTCTCTGGCTCTGGCATTGCCCTCTCCAACACTCCAAGCCCTAAATGGCCTCTATTCACAAGCGGGGGGGCAGGCTGAAGACTCAGGGGATCCTTTGAGGCACAAGTATAGGCAGCTTTTCTGCGGGCTGCCTTGTCTACACAGTGAGTCCTTAGTTGCCACCTTCATGAGTGCTCAGGGCCTCACTGCAAACAAGAGCATGTCTCAGACCTCCTTAGATGTTTCTTTTCTCCTCAAGGATCCTTCCTTCCTCCCCCTGATGCCCAATAACCCACCCCTGTCAGCTCTACCTGCTTCTCCACCTGTGCCAAATGGAGTGCCTCCACCTGACCTTCAGCAAATCCAGGTCAAGGTCCCATTTCTGACTCTGGCTGAGTGTAAAGACCTGGAGTGGCACCTGCTCCAGAGAAAGCTCCGGCTCCGGTGGGATTTGCCACACGTCCCCCAGACATCTCAGTCTGCTCTGAGCCCTGATGTGTACAAGACCTGTGGCACAGCCCAGCCACCAGCCACCATGGAACTAGCCTGGTCACAGAAGCCTGTTTCCGTTCTCACAAGGGAACTGCTTTTCCCGGACCATGCCCGGAGACTGCTTGACTTCCACCTCCAGAAGCAGTTAATCTACTCTCGCTGGGGCCTGCCCCAGATGATCAAGCAGTCCATCCAATTGTACCTGTCTCCTGCAGACCCGCAGTCCCTGCCCAGGAGCAGCACAGCCTTGGACAATGTGAGTGTCCCCTGGCTTGCAGCCCCCGAGACCAATGAAGTGAGTGGTCTGTTCTCTTCCACCTCGGCCCCAGCATTAGTCTCCATGCCACACTTGCTCACCCAGGCCAAGGCAACACTGCAGAGCCACATCAGCTCCAAAGGCTGTCAGATCCACCAGGGCTCCATCCCTGCCCGTGTTTGGATCTCCTGGAACTGCAGCATTCCTGGGAACCAGGCTGTGACTCCCTTCCCTTGCATTCTAGAAAGGAAGGCCCTAGAACTGCAGGCAGCAACTGATACTGACCTATATGAGAAAGGTGTGCCCTGGATGCCAACAGCCAATGGGCAGCAGCAGCAGCAGACTTCACCAGGTGCTGTCATCGAACATACTAAGCTGGCCCGATCCCTGTCGGAGGAGGCTATTCAGAAACTAGAGACGGCTTTACGGCACAAATATTTGGCCTTTCTTTCCGGGCTTCCTGCTCTCTATTACGTGGCTCTATCAAAGTCCATGGCCCCAGCGATCACTGGCCATTCTGAACAGGCAGAGATCATGCCCAAGCCTGTGGAAAGCACAACAGAAGCTCTGCCCGAGTCCATCTCCTATGAAGAGGAGTGCATAATCCCTGAGCCAGTCTTGGAAGAGGGCACGGAGGTTTGTGAAGACCATGTACAAGAGTTCCTGAGTGAAGTAAGTGAGGAAGAGGCGATGGAGATGGGGCCTCTAGATATGCAGACAGAGGCTGGTATTTCACAATTATTCAGTGCACCCATTTTGGCAAAAGTAAACTTCCATCTACGGCGAAAAGTTCTAGAGATACGGATGGGGATTCCCAAAAGGGCAAGAGCGTCCAGGGACCAAAGCATAACCATCTTGGAGAACCCATCCCCCCAGGAGGCACTTAAGAGTCCAAAACAAAGAAATGCATCACTTCAGGACCTCCCAGCAGATGTTTCACGTGCCCCAGATGCCCAGTGGGTCCTCCTGAAAGAACAGCTGACCACGGAGCTAAAGGCAGTGCAGCATAGCAGGAAACAAGCTAGCCCTAGAGCCATGTCCCATGGTGTGGCCCACTGGACCTCCAAAAGCTCCCAACCCAGTACGGATATGATGGAGGCCCAGGTGCTTTGTGTTCAGGTAGAAGCCCAAGTGAACAGCCCAAGCCTGGAGGAGACCTGGTGCCCTGAGTCCCAAGAACCTGGCAAAAGCAAGGACTCGGGGCAAGGACCCACAGTGACAGAGAAGAAGAAGCACCCAGGAAAACCCACTCCAGCAGGGGACCAAGGAGAAGGGGATGCAGGCCTGGGATTCCCCTCCAAAAGAGAGAACAGGCACGCGGCTGGACTCCAGAAGCCCGCAGAGAAACCTGCAAACAGAACACCCCAAGGTCCCTGGCTAAGAAGCCATAGCTTTGATTTTGCTGCCTCTTGTCAGCAGCATCCTCAGTTCAAGATTTCAGAGCTACCCCCAAGAGTCCCTGGAGGGGAAGAATATGAAAAGAATTCTCAGGCTTCACAGACCCAACCTTTGTTGGGCCCACTAATTCAGAGTAAGCCTTGGAAGGGTCAGAGTTTGTGGAATCACAGTCTACATGGCCGAGCAATGACTGCCCACACTCACAAGAGTCCAAGCCTTCCAGAATCTGGCTTAAGAAATAAGATGAAACACTTGCTACTCTCTCTTAATTCCAAGAAAAAGGGCAAAGCAGACAACGATTCCATGTCCCCTCTAGCAAAGACAGGGACCAAGCCAAGGAAAAAAATTGCTGAGAAGAATCTGGCCCCAGCTAAAAGCCCTGTGGGGCAAGCTAAGACAGAAAAGACAAAAGGGGACCCTAAGGCTCAGTCTTTCCTTACCGAGAAGCATGGTCTGGCCTTCTCAGATGGCCCCCAGGTCCTGGATAAGCAGCCCCAGCAGCACTCTCATCAGGTCCACTCCGCCTCGGTCCTGGGTCAGCCCCGCCACTGTCCTCGGCACTGTCCTGGAGTGGTTCGTGCCATGCAACAAGGAAACCCGCCGTAGTTCCCAACACTCACCTCCGAGGGAAATAGCAGAGTCTTCAAGAAAAAGATCCAGTGTACTCAAGGAGAGTTTGTAGGCTCTCAACCTTGTCATTCTTATTACCATACAGGTGGGACACCATGTCATTGCCAAATATATCACTGAGCAAAGAGCTGCTTGTGTATTCCTTCTTATATCCACTGGGGTGTGTTAAAGGAATGCGTGAAGGGTATTTTTTAAATCCTTTCAATCTGGGGAAGGAGCCCTGGTAGCATACTGGTTATGTGTTGGGCTGTAATCCTTAAGGTCAGCAGTTTGAAACCACCAGCTGCCCCACAAGAAAATGATGAGACTTTTACTCCCATAAAGAGTTACAGTCTCAAGGTAATCAAGCGGCCATCAAGCTCAGAAACAACAAAGCCCACATGGAAGAAGCACACCAGCCTATGCAACCACGAGGTGTTGAAGGGATCAGGTGTAAGGCATCATCAGAACAAAAAATC